TGGAGCCAGGCAGTGAGCCCTGCGGATAATCGATCTGCATTGAAGTCAGATATATTCATTCGAAGCCAGATTGGTATGAGCAGAAATTATTTATGTACTAAACCAATCCTGGTTTGAGATGAATTTCGACATTCAATCAGGCAAAGTAGTATGTCACCGTCGGATGCCCCCGCAGATTGCAAAACAGTTGTATACCTCGCTGGGATCCCCACCTCATCTCTGCATGTGAGGTTGCCCTGGATGTTTATGAGGCGAACGTCCGCACACTGGAGGTGGTGCAGGTTCGCTTCCTCCACTGCATGTTGGGCCTCTCACGCTTGTCCATTGTGTCAGTGCTCTTCACGGAGACTGTGATTATGCCCATTCGACCTGAACGGGCTGTCCTGGCTCTCAAACACCTCATCTACCTTCTTGAACTCCCCCACATCCCACTATGCCAGCCTGGCCCTCCACCATAGCGAGCACCTGCGGAGACTGGGCCACCCCTGTCGGCTCTCTGACCTCCACCTAGCTTTGGGCAGCCTCCCGGGCCGCCCATCGCTTCCAGAGCTTGATTATCTGCGTAGTATATACAGGACGAGTTGTCCCATCCCTCAGTTGTTTGTACTTCGTGCACATCTGAGCGTAAGTGTACTTATTTATGTCTTCGTGGAATTAGTACTTATTCTTATATACGTAGATTAGTTCTTTCGGGGATTTCATTCATCATCGAGCTCGAAATTCGGCCGACCGTATCCTGAGCTTGCCTATTGAATATTGAATGTCAATTGAATGTAGGCAAAATGTAGGATTATTTATGTTTTTTTTTCCGGGTGAGTTCTTTTTTGCGGTGCCGCATTTTGAGGGTTTAATTATTCAACCATAATGAAGCCCTCTTGAAGCCTTCTAAACCTCCGAGCCGGCACAAAATACAAGGCACTGAGCCACGGTTCAAGCCCCAACAACCAGCCCTGTCAAACCTGTACTAAAGGTTTAGAGTCCCGTGGACTAGAATAGCGCTTGTAGATACTGTGTATTGCAGTATTGAGTGATGGAATATAGCGGGATAAGGTTAAGATACTAATAATAACCGGCCCAGATATCTCGGGGTCGACTAGGTCACTCCCTCAAGGTTTAACAAGCCCCGCCCTGGTCACGGTGGCTCTGCAGTAGGGCCAGACTGAGAGTTTCTGTCAGCCCTAGCCAAGGCTAAGCAGGCGTTGAAGGGAGAACTTGGTAGAAGACTGAGAGTGCCTCTGGGAAAGTAAGTACTTCCATGTAAAATATTTGAGGTTGATACTAGTCGTATTGGTCGACAACTTGTTGGAAATAGACGTTGCAATCATGAGCGCAAGCGGCAAGATGCCATCGAAGCCTTGAAGGAGAAAGTACTGGATACTTGGTTGGATACCAACAACGTAGACTTGGTGTAGACAACGACCAAGTAGACGATAGCATACATCATGTTACCAACATGTTACCGTGATTCTCCGCAACTTGGTTCTCCGTGACACCAAGTCAGTACAATTAAATAATTTCTTAGCTTATGAAATCAATTATAAAGTACCAAAGCTATCTGTAGAGGTTCTGAGAAAGCAACGGCTGTAATGCAGCGAAAAACAGAGTATACGGTATACATAAATTGACGAGCTGGCGGCTTTAAGCGCTTAACGATTGACGCCGCTCAGCGTCTATCAATTTTCATCTCGAACCGCGATGCTGCGACCAAAAGATCGTCGTTCTCTCATTTAGGCGGGACTGAAACAATGGGGAGACCTATGTCCTTATCTGGCATGTAACCCTATTCAGTTGAACTCTTCCAGAGCCAAAGCAATTTTTTTCTTTTCTTTCATTGTTCGATGTAACAATCCATGCGAGAAACAATGCAACAGACCTCTGCACCATTGTTGAATCAATCAATATCAGTTGTTGGATTATGTACGGCCAACGCACACGAGGTACGCTTGATTTGATTATAAAACCCTGTGCCAGTTTCTGAACGACCAGTTCTCTCCCTCTTAGGCTGGTTACTAGTGTAGATCTTTACGCTCCTCATGTCCCGTTCTTCTCTCTCCATCAACGACATTCTCCTCGGTGCCGATCTCAAGCTTTCACACAAACGCCGCGGCACAGTCTTTCCCTCGCAGCTCGATCTTTCTTCTGCCTTTCAACGCCAAGCTGCCCAGGAAGACGACGACGATTATAGCACATGGGAGTATACCGCACCCGTAAAGCCGGTCTTCACCAAGAGCCACGGCCAGAGACCTCGAACAACCGCCAACGCATTGCGTAGTCCAATGTCCACTGCACAAAAAATCGCCCAGTACCACCGCAGCTCTACACACATGTCTGCCGCGCAGCAGGTCGTGTTTCTCTATCGTGCCGGGTTAAAGATTGATCTCGATTCTGGAATTGGATGCGTAGGAGATGGACGTGGGGTTCCGGCTTTATCCAGTTCGGCCTCTTCCGAACATTTGTCCACTCTTGCGCTAGAATCTGGGGAATCAAGGGAATCAGCCTTAGACTCGGAGGTTAGTTCGTGGGACAGCGACGGGGATGAAGATCAATCGAGCTCGGAACTCGGTACTACTGCAGAGACTACAGACACGAGTACTCAAGCACCGAGTCCTATCGAACTGCCCAGACTCAGACACAGCGCGTCTTGCGCCAGCGCACTCGCACAGGCTGTGAGTATCCTACTGTCCTTTTCTCTTTGAATAGCCCACTAATCCGCTACTCTCCTCATCGTTTCCCTATCTGATTTTTGTTGCCTCTTATTCCTTCACTATCACTATTCGCTTTCGAATTGCATCTCCAGTACGCCGAAGCTCTTCAAGAAACAGCCCAGTACCCTCAATGCGAAGCTCCTCAGTGCCCTCCCTTAGGCCTCGTCCCCACAGCCATCGTATGCCCTCGCAAAGACTGCCGTGCGACGCTACGTGATACGCGTGCGCTTGGGTATCATATTGCGTTACATGATATCGACAACGACCTGCATGCCCAGCGACACGGACGGGAACAGCATGCTCCCCGCACCTCGGACCTAGGTCTCAATCTCAACTTCAACCTCCTCGCTCGCGTGCATAGCCCTCCTTACACGTGCCACGCCTGCGACCAGAGGTTTCATAAACGCCAGGACCTCAAAGACCACAGTAGCCGTGCCCAGGGATGCCCTAATCAAAGTCGGAGTGCACCGTCGAGTCCTATATTCGGTATGTCTCAAGTCTGAGTCTCCATCTCGTTCTGTTGGATTTAATCGTTGATGCTGCTTTTTTTTTCCACAGCGACGTTCCATCATGTGTTGACGAGGATCACGTCTCATTAACTGGTGAGTATGCGTGGTAACACCCTCTTTCACTGTTACATTATTTAATTTCCTAGTTTGCCTAGTTCTCGCCTAGATCCTCCTACATTCTACTATCCCATTATGCCCTCGTTATCCTCACCCTGTATAGCTATCGTCTCCTAGTACTCAAGTTTTATATCTATATACTTATACCCGTCATAGCTAGTATAATCCTTCCTCGTTAATTTTCCATAATATCCTTTATCTTCCCGTATACTACAACTCACTCCACAAATCTGTTGCCTTTCTCCCCTCTTCTTCCTGTAGGTGTCTCCGGTTCTGCGTTCTGTTCCGTTCCCTGTCTAGATCTCTAGATCCCCATGTTCCTTGTATCGCTAGTATCGTCATCAATCTTGTATCAGTTTATCGATTTATCCCACAGTCCGGTTGTACATCCCTCTTTTTGAACTGGTCAATGGACAACTGTAGCGGACCGCAGCTAAGGAACCTGGAAATGAAATCGATTGACGCTGATACTCAGGCTGGCCAGCAGTACTATATTACCATTGTACTAGTAGTACCTGGGGTGCCGTGGATCCCGGTAGATCGGTTTAGCCCAGCCTCAACATCAAGGCTCCTACTACTTGCCTACTCTGAAGCTACTTGGGACATCATCAATCCAGAGTCCAGGTGACTGGAGATGAAATCGACTGACGCTGGTACAGGCAGCAAACGGGCAGCAATTACTGCGATACTGATACTAGTAGCGCTTAAGCGCTTAGGGCTCTGGTATGTGGAGCTATGCACCTCGCTAGCAAGTCGTTTCAAGTTTACTAGGCTAGGTTAGGGTTCGTTTTGAGTCTCATCTAGATTGATTTTTTATCCCTTCGTCATCGTTCCGCTTTTCGCAGCCTGTATCCAAGGTACCCAGTCTGCGCACCATAAGTTTCAATTCCTTGGGGGCCCAGGCTATGGTGTCAGCCTCAGATCCTACATGCGCACTCAATACCTTCATCTTTCCATTCCCCTATACCCAAGAAGCCTCCAATCCCTCTCTCCTTCTCCCTCAGTGCCACCACCACCATCCGACACAAAGATGAAGAACAAGTTTGAATCCTTGCTTACTTGAATTGAATCTCGAGTTGCGATTCCTGAACGGTATGATCTCTTCTCTTTGTTCCATCAGTACAGCTAGGTCATAATGTTGCTCATACGAGATTGGCTGCAGTTACTCCGCTGACCATGGCATCAATCTATTAATCTATTAAATTCAAGCCGTTTATAAGCCCTCACTGTGCACTCGCTTGAAAACTTTATGACCATTGTCAATTTGCATCATGCTTCCGAGTGCTCCTGGTATGTCTCTTATGGATCCACCTCAGGCTCTCCCTCGTCCAACGTCCACAACCTCTCTGCGAACAAGATGGGGAAAGAGTTGGAATCACTTGGATACGACCTCTCATATTATGTATGTATCATATTGATAGTAATCTTCCTCAACTCAAGTGCACACCGTTGATGAAGTGATAACCATGCTTGCCTTTCACAGAATGGGAGTGGGGATGAAAGAAGGAAGCGGCTCGGGTTTGATTCCCGAATGGCTTAATCAGGTTTGCTCTCAGTGCAAAGAGACTAGTACTGTGATGTCTCATTTCTTTTGAATATTTTGCTATTTACCAAAAAGGATTGAAGGTGGTCGTGGTGTGGACCCACTTAGAAACCTTGATTCAAGTATACACAGTCGGTGAAGTGGTTGTCATGCTTGCCTTCCATGTTCGAGACGAGGTTATCGCAAGCGGTTCGGGTTCGATTCCTGAGCGGTGTACTTATTCAACAGATAGCTCATAGTGCTTTTTATCCTTGGCGGCTGTATTTCATGATCATTTGTAATCAGTGACTTGTTCTCGCTTGTTTTCCGTGGATACTGCCAAAATTGACAGAAAGCCCATCCCATTACTCCGACAACTTTTGAGTGTTAATAACACCTTTCCTTCTACTTACCTGTCACTACAATCAGTTCATTGAGTTTTCGAACCTTCTGTTACCGAAGGCTAACTACACAGAGGTCCATATCTGGAGCGCCGGAGATATTTATATCTCCTGCGCGTTGAGGACCATCACGTCTAAGCTTCGTTGGCTCTTACGAGTCGTTAATTCATAAACAAGTTCGAATTGTTTCGCTTGAGGTTGTGGCGCTAGATAATCAGGCTTTAAGGGAAGTTAAAGCTCCGGCCTGGACCAGGGAGGACGCTATATGAGATCTGGCGTACGTGTTCCACGGGGCTTCGCGCTGACATTTTCTGCGTGTTCTTCAATGAGATACTGATGAGATATGGTGATTCCTGAACCAGGCAATCCTTGACTCCTTGATGGCTTGACAGCCAAGTCCCCTTTCGTCCATCACCACCTTTCAGATTACGACCATGACCTAAGGCTACAGGGTATAATATGAAAATTACGACAACTTTTGATAAATTCTTCATAATTCCAGCTTTGGCTTCCCAATTTTGTCCTCCACGGGCCGGTCAGTGACATGATCGTTAGAATTCGGACAGATTTCGGAAAGTTCAAACCTTCGCAACGACAAATTAACTGGTGCTATTCCTGACTTTGGTTACTCTTTTCTCGAGCGAAGCAACGATGTCAAGTGGAGTAGTGCGTTTTCATGAATCATCAAGCTTTTTAGATTAAGTAACGTCTTGGTTCTATTGTGCTCTGGTGCTGATGTAGTAGTCGGAAAAGTTGCTTGAAGTATCTGGAAGGGAGTGGTAAATTGACATCAAGTTGTGGAGCTGCGATTACCGGAGTAACTCTGAGGGTGTTCTTAAGTTTCAGTCTTTCCGATGTCGCCTTTCGCCATGGGCACGTGAATGGCTAATGCGCAGGGACGAGCGTGTGGCGCCGGCGCTACGCTTGTTGCCCGCTACGCCTGAGGAAGGTTGAAAACTTAGGCTTCATTAAATCAGACCGAGAAGGCGGTTACAAGCTAAAGGATCAGGCCTTGAGGCCCGTTTTCACGTTGGGATCCATGTACTTGCTGTTTCTGAGTCCAACGTCTAATATTCACTCAATTCCAAGAGATTAGCATCGTTTACCGTGTAGCTGCCATTATATGCAATACAGATACGTACCGCTATGCCCTATATTATGGCGGCTATTCTATATCCGGACGTTCCTTGTATTCTGCCCAGGCCGAGCGTTCACATCAGAAAACCTCCCAAGCTCCTCCCAGATACTCATCTCTCCCACCGAGATCACCATTTATAACTCGAAATCAATTCAAACTCAAAGGCGATCTATCATGCGTATACATATGACATATCATGATTGGGATTCAAGATTGGATTAGGCAACTGGACACATCGAAAGCCTCCGAGAGCCTGAGTATAAGGAAGAAATAAGTTGTAATTCTGTAGTAAACTTCTAAGATCACATTATATCAGATGAGGAGATTGGAGGAAAGGGCTCATGGTTCCACTTTCCGGCGAGTTGGGGACATATAAGTTAAAGATATCTGCCACCTACACACTGCCACTCGACTCAAGACCTGCCGAGCCTGTTTCCTTATTTCGCCAGTTACCTCACTTCGAGGTTCACTCTTACTCTCACTCCCATCATCACTTTCGCTTCACCTACGCCACAATTACAGAGCGACAATGGAATTCGAACAGGTGCAGCTACACCAGCCTCTTACTAGGTCTCACATCACCGACCTTGAAGTAACTCGAAGAGTTCAGATACAACAGACTGCTACGAGCCTTACGCCGGGGGATTCGGAACACGAACAACACTCTGACGACTGGGAGATCGAAGAGCTTCTCAGCTCGTTCTATTTCGATAGTTCAGATAAGTATTATAGCGAAGAAATATCCAGGTACGTTTGTACGCGCATTCGTATTCCCGTCCTTGTTTATATTTTATCCGACCTTGAACGCCACAATTCTTACTAACACATCCCTTCAATTTCCCCGCTTCCCCATTCGCCCATTGCACCAACAGCCAAGTAACTATCGAACGGCTGAACCCTATCTACGAACAGGACGAGGATGAAATGTTTTATGACCTCTATGGACACGGCGCAGAACACCCCTCAGGTTCATATTCCCATAAGTCCCTTCCTTGCTCTACATCTACATTGGGAAGCGACGACGATATGGACGAAACTAGTGCCGAAAAGGACAAAGACCAGAACAGTTTGTCATCTGAGTTATCATCCGAAATCTCATCCTCCCCGCAGTCCGAGTTCCAAAACGCTTCTCAGTACAATTCGAGGCTATTGCTTACTGAACTCCCTGAGCCGAGTTCGAGTTCGAACCCCCCGTCAAGCCTTCATTGGCCTGTAGTTGAAGAAGATGACTATGATGAGCCAGTTGGATTTGGGACAGGAGAAGACGAGGGCGAAGGATTCGAAGGAGACGTGGAGATGGAATTAGAAGAACGTGAACATCGAGGACGTTCGAGGGCTGTTCCTGTCCGACTTGCTCGGTGGGTAACCTCATCCTCGGGTCCAGGCTCGGAAAGAACGATGAGTCGAAAGAAACCGCCACAGATGCATAACAGAGAAGGCTAAAAAGTGGCGATTGCGCAATAAATAAATTGATCGTGGCAGTTGACGTTCAGTGAGTCCCATGTGCAGGTGCATGATATCGTACTTATCAGTGGCACACCGTCGGAACAAATCTAAACTGAATAATCTATGTACTGAATGTGGTCTGTTTTTGCTTTCGTTAGCGTTTCTGGCTCTAAAGTTGATTACGGTCGCCCATGTGAAGTTTAGAAATCCATATATACATAACAACTCGACGCTTCTTTAAGTCTTAGCTCTGACTCGAAACTTCCAGGCAGTGTGTTGGACGCGGTCGAACGCGGCTAACTACGATACTAGATAATAGTGCACGAGAGACCTTAAGTTTAGAATCTCATAACATATCCTTTGTTCATTGTCCGATTCCTTCAGATAATAATAGCAGGCAGAAGTCGAAGAATCAGAAAAGCCGCGTTGAGATTTACGGACGAGGCGCTGACGTCAACGCAACCACACACTGCCCACACATGTCGGTGTGTATTTGGCTGTAGGGTGAATTTTAAAACAAATCACGTACCGATATCGCGTGGGTTTCCTTTGCCTGGAGGCTTGAAATTTTCCAAGTGTCGTGTTTACAACACATGTTTGTAAAATTTATAGAATACTCGAGTTCTTGACATGAAAAACATCCTGAAACTGGACGATGTTGCAATGGAAGAAAAAGTGAGGCATATGTATAGATTTATTCAGGAGGTGTCGACGGTTCATGAAGTCTTTGAAGCATGAGCGTGGGTAGATAGGTTCGCCCCGACCTCCACTGGGGACCCGACGACGAAACATGCCGCGAGACTGGAAGAGAAAAATCTTCATCCGCGCCATACTTACTCGTTATTCCATCAAACTTCCGCAAACTTTCGCCCGCTTGTCGCTGAACAGCACGTCGTCGACGGAGGATGGACAGATAGCATTAGGTTTAGGTGGGAAAAGAGACGCGCCTAGTATTTTGAAGAAGCACTCAGAGAAATGGAGATCAGGTGGAGAATGTGAGTTGGATTCCTCATCGGATTTAGAAAAATCGCAATGGGAACATAGATACAGGTCATTAATTATTCGGGACTCGCTGTGCCTGCCCTACTTGCTCGATGAGTGGGACGCGTCCAAGGAAAGTTCCAACATACCGCCGTAGGAGGAGGGGCGAGAAGGTGGTGATTGCAATTAAGACGCCAGCTGGGTGAGATCTTGATTGCAGTCGAGGTAATCAAGGAACTAGGCCCGAGAGCACAGGTGAGAATCTGAGCTTTTTCGTACGAAGTATGCATCGTCTAGCAGAACATGTTTAAAAAAGTGAATGTCTCTACTGTATTTGGTTTGTTTTTCGTTCTTCCTTGGCGCACTTGGTGCCTTTTGCTGTGCTATGACTTTTTGTTCACGTCCAACCCTTGTGATGATATGTACTTAAAGCAGATAGATAGAATCCCCCAAAAACCTTAATGTATTTTTTTTTGGGCTACTCGTGATGATGATTCGATTCTTTGAGATCGTGTTTGAATTACTAAGAATCTCTTCTGATTTTTTGCTGTAAAGTTTACCTGACGATCTTCGGGCACAGCGAAAAAAGTTCTGTTCGCTCGAGCTACAACTCATCATCTAGCACCATCGACCAGCCTGCCGTACTGGCGATCCATATGGATATATTGGAGATGGACATGAAGTGATCCAGACGTCAAAGTAAGTAGCATGATTCGACCCGATTCAGGAATCATCTTCACTCATAGCATTATAAGGACTAGTACGTGCGGGTTTAGAAAATACTTGGTATTCTCAATATTCTCCAGTCCTTCCATCAGATTTCCGACTCACAGGGAAGAAGAAGATGGGCAAAAGAACTCGGAGCTTGAGGAGAACTAGTGTGTGGGTAAATTTTTTCACAGGGAGGGACCAATCGCACAAGTCCATCGGATACGATAAGAAACGATAAGAAGGTATTGATTAGTTATTGAGTATTTACGATGATTAGTTACCGGCAAGGTCAGACACTCAGCGCTCAGCGCCAGTAGCACCAAGCTGCCTAGCTGCCTAACTGAAGCACCAATTCATCCACTTGTCGATTGCGCATTGAGTCCTTACCGTGACTTTCTCGCCACCTCCTAAGACTTAGTCTATGGACCGGTATCTGTATACATTACCATATGTGTTTGGCGGCGGAGGCGGCGCTGTCTTTCGACTCCGAGGTAGGTATCCCTGCTGACCCAATCCCGAGCCTGGCGCTATCGAGCGGGCAGAAGAAAGAGCTCAACCTG